TACGAGAGTAAGTCCGGGCAATGATCCATTTATCGTTGAGGGAGGATCGATGACCATGTTGCGAGCGAAGCAATTCAAGTAAGCTATGATATTACTTACTCAAGTTACGATGGATAAAACATTGAGCACAACAAGCAAAGGAACGAGTTTCGTGTTTAGCTCGGGAGAAGAAACCAGATGGATCAACTTGGTTCAAGCAGCGAACAAGAAAGCTGGAGAAACCGCATAGTTACTCTAGGCATGTGGTCGTATGCTTATTTATCGAGATTGCAATTGAGGGTCTTAAATTAACTATGCGACCGCATAGGGCTACACTATGTGGCCGCATAGTATATTTATGGAAGCCTTTTTTTCTATTTTTCGCATAATTTTCTACTTTAGTTAAAATTCTTGTATGTAATGTTTTTGATATCTTTGAGACTTAAATTTCATTTTTAGCTAGATTTTATGGGTTCCCTATATATAAGACTCATTATATTCATTGTAAACACTCGATTTTGAGATATATTATTGCGAGGCAAATTGCTTTCTTCTCGTTCTTCATTATTTTTAATTTTGAACTTATCAATAATTAAATTCTTGTGACGTTCTACAAATTCAAGTAAGGTTCATAAGTTTTGTGATCATGGGTCATGATATTGTTATCTATTACCTTGATTCTTGGTTCAATAATTTATTTGGTTAAGCTTTTCAAACGTTGATTCTTGACTTTCTTGAGTTGTTCTAATTTGTCGTAGGTTTCGTATCTATTATTTCTACGTGGGTTCGCAACAGTTGGTCTCAGAGCAAGGTTTCAAAAATCAAGGTTATATCCTAGTTAATTTCATTTTTGTTTAAGTCTTTTGTTTTCTTTCATTCTTCGTGTTCTTCACGTTCTTCATTTTTTTTGAGTCTCCAATCCATAAAATACCAAAAAAAAATTCAAAACTTGTTTGTGTGCTAATCTAACATCCAAATCAGTTTTTGTTTCTTTTGTTGGTATCTAATTGAATTTTCGAGTTAAAAAAAAAAAAGAAAATTAAAAAAA